TTTAAGGGGAGGATGTGGTGTAGAAGTGTAACCCTTGAAGCAGCATGATCATGGTGACTCATATGATTTAAACATTGCAACTATTTAAAAATACATCTTTGGAGACTTCTCTAGACAATGGCAACACAGATGGGGGGATTCTTAAACTCTAGATCTTGCATTTCTTCTCAATGGAGATCACCTGAATCAAATCAGATCAAGCTGAACTTAAATGGCAGTAGCATGGGCAATCAGGGTTTGTATCCCTCAGGGTCTAGGAGGGATCTTCAGAGATAGTAATAGCTCAACCCTAGCTTTATACTTGGAACAGAATGGACATAGAGACTCCACTTTAGCAGAATTGATGGCTGTTCTTCAGGGCCTAAGAATGACAAGATCAGTGAATTATTCTAAGGTGGTGGTGAATCGGTTAAGGGACAACAGTAGAGTCGCCTGGTAACATCAGTTTATCACGGAGCCATGGATGAAAAACATTACTTTGGGAGGGGGAGGAGAAGCATTGTAATTGGGTACATCGGCTAGCTATATGTGTGGCTGGTGCATTATATAGACAGTGTAAACAGAACTTAGTTGTTTTTGGGACAGCTGAGAGATTTTGAGTTTAGTGAGAAAGGGAATGGAGAGTGTTGGCTTAGTTGAGTATGGTGCTGAGGGTTATTTTTTGTCCTTTAAGGATTATATTTCAGATTTGGTGCTGAGGGTTATTTGATGAGGAATATCCTTGAAGCTTTCAGTACTGATAGCCAAGAATATATAATACCCAACACTCTTCTGATCAGCTAATCCAAAGAGCTGCTCTTGTTCTCCAAAAAATTCTGAGGTTTCTCTCTACCAGAATTGTTCTTCAAAAGTCCTCTGCCCCTCCTGCTTTTGTTCTTCAATTGACACCAGCAGAGGTTTAGAACTCTGTAAAAGTAATTATATGCTTATTTTGTCTTCCCTGTGTAAGACACAATATACTTCATGGAGACTAAGTCCCATTTTTTCTAGGCTATCTCTTGTCAAACATTCATCCTGCACAGCTGTCCAAAGCAAGAATGGTACTTTGGATGGAATTTGAGGAAGCCAGATCTCTTTTGTGAGAGTTCTGGTTCTGCTACAGTGTTCAGTCTTTTAAAGAAAGACCTAACAGAAAAGTTACCCATTTTGTCCCTTCTCCCATCTCTTATCAAACATTTATCCAGCACAGTTATTTTTTCTCATCTAAGAGACAAAGACCCCCTTCTACTAAGACAGATGATGACTGACGGCCAGAGACTATTGGCCAACGGCACAATGGTTGACGATCAACGTCAGCTAAAGGGAAGGAGAGTGGATGATAGGTGACGCCTACGGACCAACCATCAAAGGCAGCGAGGCTTCCAGAAGACAGAAGAAAGGCAAAGGGGAAGAAGGACCTAATTCTTTTGCCGTTGGTCGGAGGGGGGGCAAGTTAGAATGAAGGCGAACAATAAATCCTTCTTCCTGGAAGTGGAAGGGGGGGAAAGGTGAAGGAGAGGTTGTTTTTTCTACAATCATGCCTGGTGGGTATGTTCAACTGGAAGGGTTTGGAGGTAGAGGAAGTTCAGGTGTGGGTAGACAAGGTTTGGAATTGCTCGAAGGGTGTTGAGGTGAGAAGGCTGGATGGGGATAGATGGCTTTTCTTCCTATCCTCCAAGGAGGAAGCTAGAAGAATCTTGAACATGGGTGAGATGTTGTAAAGGCATGCTACTTCATCTGGAGCCTTGGTTAGAAGAAACAGGAGTGTAGCAGAAAGCGGAGGATGTCCAAGGTTACCTCTGGATCAGAATTTACGGTTTGTCGCTGCATTTATGCAGTAGAGAACTCGTTAAAAGGAAAGGGGACTTGTGCGGGGGATTCGGAGAAGATAAGAAAGTTTATCTTCCTCTCTGTAATTCTTCTGTGATTAAGTAATGAAATGTTGTTATTGATAAAAAAAAATGACAATAAAATCTACAGAGAATCCTTTGAATGTGTATGAATCAAGGTGCATTGGAATGGGGTGCCACATCAAGCGGTTAATATAGTGGTGGAGGGAGAAATGTTTGTGGTCACACTTTGGCCTGAAATCAAGACAGAGAAAATGAAGACACTGTCAGATTTTAAGGATGCGGTGCTAATAGGTCTGACTTTTGTGCAACAGGTGTTAGCAGGGAAACCACCTGCAGGCAAAGGTAGAACACAATCGGATACTCTAGCAAGAGAGGGTAGATCATTTGGTACTATTGCAGTTGCAGTATAGGGGAGTGAGCAGATGGTGGAGTGGAGACCACAATCGTCGGAACCTCTGAGGAGGGGGGCTGGACTATAGTTGAACAAAGGAAAGGTAGAAGATGACTTCACAACCGTAGATTGACTGGGAGATCTAACGACCAGAAAAGGGATTTGTCAAAGGAGGGGCAGAGGTCAGCCCTTTTTTTTTTTTCAAATTTCAAATCCTTCGATCCCCAATCTGGTCGATGTGGTGCTTTTAGATAAGTTAGCCGAGGCGGTTGCCTTACGGCTGAAGCCAAACTGGGCCGGATCTCTAATGGTCTTAGAGGACCGCAGTAATAGTAGTAAGACCCACTTCCTAACTCAAAACAAACCAGGCCCAGTACGGTTTAAAAGCCTAGTGAGGAAAAGTGGTGTTGGGCTGAAGTTAGACTGGGTGGAAGGTAGAGGGAAAGGCAAGGCACTGGTGGAGGTCACTTCTGAATCTTTGATTGATTTTGAAGACTTAGTAGGAGGGGAAAGCTTGAGTTTCCTAGACACATGGGGTGAAGAAGGGCATAGGGCTTATGAGAGGGTCTCGAAGATGCACTCAGGGGACAAGGTGCAACCAATACTATTGTAGAGGGACAGGAGCGGGGATGGGGAGTCTTCACTATTTCCAAGTTGAGAAATAGGGGGGTCCATTGGCAGTCGAAGCGGTGCCTGCTTCAATCGGAGAGGGAGCACCGAATCAGGTTTCTGTGAAAGAGATTAACCAGTCGACACCTACACCAGTTCTCTCTCCCATAGACAGGCAAACATTTGGAGTTGCCGGTGATGACTGAAATGGCAGAAACCAATTTAGAGTTATCTGGTTTCCCCGCTCTTGCAGAAGCCTAGTTGCAGACGGCACTAGAACCACTAGCTGTTATTCTTCCGACCAAGGAGGGCCAGCAGATGTGATCTCTTCAGGTGAACTTAAGGTACGCAGAAGATAGTGAAATCTCTAATTGGGTTTTGTCTAAATTTCTCAGTTTTGGGGAGTTTTTGGGGGTTGCTTTTAAGGGCCTGGAAGAGGAAACAAAAGCCCTCTTCGTGGCCATTGAAAACCGGTTCTTAGTTGAGAAGGGGAAGAAAAATAGAAAGCAGTCTAAGGAATTGCTGAGACTTGCTTGGGGTCTAAATGACAGCGCAGGAAGTGCGGGGAAAAGTTTTAACTCCTCAAAAACTTTTTAATGGAAAGCTTAAAATTAATTTCTTGGGATGTTCGAGGGCTCAGCTCAGGGAGAAGAAGAATGGTAGTTGGGGGTTTTTTGAAAGAAAAGAAACCAGATTTTTTGCTGTTACAGGAGACAAAGCTTCAAAGCTGTCTTTCAGAGTAGTGAGAAGTGTTTGGTTTCGGTCCTTGTGATTGGCTCAAAATCCCTGCTGTGAACATTGCGGGAGGAGTAGCTCTGATCTGGAACAACAGCACTTTCAAGCTGATAGACAAATTTGTGTGGACCTCTTCAATTTCTGCCAAGTTTCTCTGGGTCTGGGAGGCTAAGAATGTGCAATTTATAGTGACAGGGGTGTATGGGCCGGTTGACTATAACTTAAAGGATGCTCTTTGGGATGAATTAGATTATGTCAGAGGAATATGGGAAGGTCCTTGGGTGCTAGGGGGAGATTTTAATGCAATTCTCAGCCCTGTAGACAAAAGGGTTGTTACAGACTGAACAGAGGTATGAGAAATTTTAGGGACTTCATCCAAAGGTGGGAACTGATAAACTTGCCACTAGTAGGAGCAAAGTATACCTGGACCAACAATCAGGAAAACCCATCTTTAGTCAGACTGGACAGATTTCTGATTTCGCCTGAATGGGATGAAATCTTTCCATTCACAAATCAGGAAGCACTGACAAGGGTAGTTTCTGATCACATCCCCCTGATCCTGAGTACGGGAGGCTTGAAAAAGAACCCCCATCCCTTCAACCAGCGAGTTGAATTTCTTGATTCATTCTTTTAACAGCACACAACATCCTTGGGGTTCTTCAACCAGCCCACCACTACCTCGGAGTCCCCTTCAAAAGAAGCAAGTAGTTGTTCCCTAACAGAATCTCCAAATCCAAGGGGACCCGAATAAATAAGAACTACCTCTCCAAGCTCATTTCTCAGAACCCCTCTCAGACCCCCTCCCCCCATTCCAGAGGGCCATGGATTGCCCAAGCTGCCCCCATCAAAATTCAACTTCAGTGAGCCTTTAGATGGGTGAGACCACCTTATAACTGCCTTATTCTTAATAGAGGAGCAGCTTGCTACTGCTGATCAGTTCCTCCAAAAATCATTAAAGGAGAGTTGATGGAAAAGTTTCAAGGTCTTTAACCAATATTGTTGGTATTTCAACTCCATACCTTGGATCACCAAGGTTTCTTCAACAAGTTAGGGAGGGTGATTGGTGGTGGTGGTGTAGGTACTGTAACACGTATTTAGGGTTGATCATTTCTGTCTAGACCCTGCCATCGCCCAACCATATGCCATCACAAATTCTTAAAGCAAGTAGTATGAATATAGCAAAATAAAAGCATGTTTGTGATAAATAGAAATAATAAAGCTTTAAAATAAATTTGTGGTTGACTAGGTCAACTAGTCATTAGTGACTAATTACTAACATACCTAGTTGATTCTTAATTGCCCTAGGCAATGGGGATTCATTAGTTGGCTAAACTACCTAGTCAATGGACTAGTTGACTACTGGTTGACACTTCTGTAACAATGCTAAGTTTAATGAGATTCATCCTCCCTATCTTTGTTTTGTCTATTTGTAGGCAACAGGGGCTCGGCCGTACTCAGGGAAAGTTGGCCTGGATGACGTGGACAAAGTTGATATGGCTTACAGGGTTGTAGCTGATCATATAAGAACTCTTTCATTTGCAATTGCTGATGGTTCTTGTCCAGGTAGGATTCTAAGTGATTTAACTTCAATTACATCTGCTTTTTGCTCTTTGAGATTTGTTTTTCATGAATCCCTTACATGCAACAAAAAAGGTAAAAGGAATCCAAATTCCACGAGCATTTTTCAAACATCCATAATAAGATCTTTATTCCACTTGGCAAAGGAAAGAAGAGAAGTAAATGTTGTTGTACATGGGTAATGGGAATTTCTTTTACTTGAGCTTAGCTCTGCCCATAGATTTATGTGTAAGAGAGACAAGTCATCAAATCCTTCTATTTCTTAAAGCATAATGAGTTGTTTTCTGAAAGTTGGATGAGGGGTTGGATTGGATAGAGTCAGAGTGTAACTGCAAGCATGATAAGATGATAGACACAGTTAATCACTTGTTTGAATTGAAGAAAACAATGACACAGTTAATCACTCTTCAACAGAGTGGAAGAACATGATGGATAGCTAGTGTTGGAGTCATATTCAACAGAGTGTCCTGCACTACAATGACTCTATTTATAGACTCAATTTATGAATTTGGATGGCCCTTTACAGACTCCAGTTGTTTTAAAATTGACCCAAATCAACCCCTAATTGCTTTAGAACTAAGACAAACCCATAGGGACACTAAAATAATGAATCCAACTCCTAAACATTTCTAATAACACTTTCCTAATCCTACTAACATTAATGTAAAGACACCATAAATTACTGAAGTAGTAAATTGCAAGTTTACTAAAAATAGTAATTTTGAAATAACAGTAAATTTCTGAAAAATTTTTAATCCTTCTTAAGATACTTGAAATTCAATAAAAGAATTGCATCTTTAAGAGTCTCCACTTGTAGTTTTGTCAATTCTCCCATGAAATTCCTTCAAGAAGAGAATGAGGCCAGAAGACTTTTTCAGGCCGTTTCTTCCTTATCTTCATATCTATTAGTTTTTTTTTTTTTTTGGGGGGGGGGAGGGGGGCTTCCAAAGAGGTTCAAATTGATCTAACCAAGTACACAGTACTGCATCAGAGAGGGCAATAAGGATTTTTTATCAACTTATCCCTATTTTTTCTCTTCTCAAAATCCATGGATGTTTTATATTTCAATATTTAAACCTTAAAACAAAACATACTAATAATAATATAAAATGCAGCCATAATAATAATGTTATAGTTAGGTGCTTTCTTGTGAGTTTTTCACCTAGGCAGATGCCTAGTTCTCTAGATGGGCACCTTTCTATCATAAAGCATTCTGACTAGGCACTGTCTTGACAACCATGGGAGTTTCTTGTCCACTACCAGAAAATGGCTTAGAATTACTTTTCATTGACAACTGTATTTGATAGCTGTGAAATTAAAGGAGCTTGTTTTTCTACATGGTCAGGTTTCCTTTGGGCTTCACTGTGTTTAAATTTCTATTTCTTTTTTATTTTTTGAAATTGTTGTCTAGCTTGCCATTCTTGTTCTTGGTGCTGTTCATTAAGGGTTTTGTCCTTTCAGTACCTTACTGTCTATTTTTAATTCTTATAATGATTTTCCCATTTCCACCAACTATGGTATTAGGAAAAACTCAACTTGTGCTTATGACATGATCCTGTTTTCATGTATAGGCAATGAAGGTCGGGAATATGTTCTTAGACGTATTCTTAGGAGAGCTGTTCGCTATGGAAATGAAGTTCTAAAAGCTCAAGAAGGGTTTTTCAGTGGGTAGGAATGATAAGTTGTTTTTTTATATTTCTTTTTTTTTTCTTATATTCCTCTAGTATTTAAGAGTACCATCTTGTCCTATTGAGATTTTCGTGGACAAGGAATGTATAAACCAAAATGTTATTGCCAATTATCTTTATTATAACTGATTCTAATAATTGTATCATACTACTGTCTAGGCTTGTCGATGTTGTGGTGAAAGTGATGGGAGATGTCTTCCCAGAATTGAAGCAACATGAAGTCAATATCAGAGACATTATTGCAGCAGAGGAGATAAGCTTTGGAAAGACATTACTTAAGGTAACAATTGTGATACATTAGTATGAATTATCAAGTTACATATTTGTTTTATTTGTAAGTAACAAATTTGTCTTTTTTCTTATTTGAATTTGTGACCATACTCTGGAACTACGTGGAGATTTCTCACTAATCTATCTATTTCTTTTGATTTCTCTATTTTCTTGTTATGCATTGTCTTTAGGATGTGGCCTGATTAGAGTCAAACCATGTGGGCATATTTGTAAATATTTCTTTTCCGGGGGCCTATTTGTATCTTTCTCTATATTCTTAATAACATTACCTTACCTTTTTCAAAAAAAAACAAAAAAAAAAACTATGTGGGGGTGCAAAACAGGTGGAGGTGGGGCCAACCTAACCCAACAAATCCAGTCCACGCTATATGTCAGGTTGAGCATGCAACTTACAACCTTATGTTGGGCTAATCCCAACCATGCGTGGGCTAATCCCAACATGTTACCAAATCAAACCTATATCTTTTTTTTATCAATAACAGTAAATTTCATTAAAGAGGAATAAACTTTTACAGAGGAGGGGAGCTAAAATAGCTTAACTCCCCAAAAATGTTGAGACACTCAAATTGAAAAAGAATAATTACAACTGAGTCCAGAAAACAATATTCCTATTCACCCCTTACCTAGCGAATCCATCTGCAAATGAATTTGCACTTCTCTTCACCCATGTGCATCGAACTTCAAGGTCTTTAGTTAGCCATTTAAATTTCCTCTTTTCATTGCTGTAGTTCCAGTGCCTAGAGTTGTATTCTTTTGACCAGCTCACTACAGTCTCAGAGTCTCCTTCTATAGTCAAGTTATTGACATTCATGTCTTTAGCCCTTTGTGTCCCTTCCAAAGCTGCTAATACCTCAGCCCTCAAAGAATCTCCTACTTCAATTGGGCCAGAGAACAATGCTGTCACATTCCCTTTTTTCATTCCTTAGAACTCCCTCAATACCTGAGGGCCCTGGATTTCCCATCCTACTACCATCAAAATTCAATTTGATAAATTTGAGAGGTGGAGGGTTCCAGTAGTGACTTGAGGCCTTGTTCACTGAGGCTGAACTTGCAATTTCTTTCCATTTTCTTAGCAAATCATCAATTGAGAATTCTGTAAACATATCCAATGTTTTAAGCCAATGTATTACCCTTATATGAGTCACTTCTAGCACAACTTCCAGGCTTCTCTCTCTTTATGAGAAACTCCTTGAATTTCTCTCTTCCCATATAGTCTAGCAAACAGCAGCCCTGACACATCTCGACATGATCATTGCCCTTTTTGTTATCCAGTCGAAGGGAGAAGAAGTAAACAAGCTTTGTACATTCATTGGGGAAGTCCACCTTCCCAAATAGATTTTGCAAAATGACATGGAATTAGTAAGTGGTATCCAAACTCATCATCAGCTTTACAAAGAACACACCAGTGAGGAGACAAACATCTATCGGGCCTTTTTCTATGAAGCAAATCACTTGTGTTAACTATTTCGAGGAAAGCTTCTCAACAGAAACTCCCAACCTTTGGAGGGATAGGTTGATTCTTTCCAGGAAATCAAACCTATATCTTATAATGGGCTTAACTGAATTGTATTTGGACTGTTAGATAGTGTATCACTGATTAGGTTGGGACTTGGGGTTACGCCTTGTAGACCCTAACACACCAAATTGAACCTTAGTTCAAAGTGCAAATCCTAGTTGTTCCAGGTTTCATCCTCGGTATCTCATATGACTATTGGCATTTGAGGATGAGAATATGGCACTAAACAGAACAGAATGGCTAAACAGGATTCATGTAACTGACCCCATATAGTTAGGATAAGGCTTAGATAATGATGATGATGACATTTGACTGACCATCTGTCTCCAGGGAATCGAGCAATTTAAGAAGGCTTCTCAGGATGTTCAGGGGAAGATATTGAGTGGACAGGTAAGCGAATTTCTATTGCATGGCTTATTCTTGTGTTGCTCCTATGTTATGGACATGCGACTTGCTCAGTACTTATTTTTTAATTTTTATTCAGTCAATGTATATATAAAAATGAGTCCATGCTATATACATTCTGTTTCCCTCTGTACAGCTTCTCATTGTATTTAACATGTTTATTTACATGTTATATACCAAGTATTTCTTATAAGTTTGGTCTAAGAGTGAATTGATACTCCTTGGACTTCTTTCAAATGGATGTATCTGATTCAATGCATTTTTTTTTTTAATTTGTACATAGTACCCACTGATAACACATCACAGTTCTTTGAAATGCTTTGTCTTTTTTCCTTGGGGTGCGAAGAGTGGCTTTTTTGGTAATAAAATAAAAGGTTTTATTGAAATAAATAAGAGTACAAGGGAAGGTGACCAGTAGTCACCTGAGAAAACACACACACACACACACACACACACACACACACTACAACTCCTACAGAATCAGCCTGAACCTAACCAAGCAAAACCATGCCTTCCTCACACATAAAATAAACCCACAGAAACACTCACCTAAAACAAATCCTGCACCCAATATGATAGAATGCATCTACAAAAGCTTTCTTTCATAAAACACACCCCTCAGCAATTACAATAAACTCCAACACCCCAACCAGCTACAACCCCAAACAAAACTCTGAAGTAGTCTTTTTCTCATTCATTGGTACCTCAACTCTAATTCCTGAAATAACTGTCTTGTAGCATCTTCCCCACCTAGAACCAATAAGGTCAGCTGCTTGCAAACTTGGGCTCCAGTCTCAACAGTCTTATCCACATCCACTTTTTTTTGTTTATTTTTTTCGATTGTTCTAACTCTATCAAGAACCATCTCTTCTCCTTCCCACTCTCCTTTCAGTTTCATCCTTTGAATCATCCTCCTCCCACAACCACACCTCCTCTTTTGGCACAGCTTCTTCAGGATGAGCTTCAGAGGTAGAGACTGTGTTGCATTACAACAGTCTGAAATTTGGGTTGAGGGCGTCTCTCCAATTTGCACTTTCTTCAAAAAAGTCTTTCATTCCGTTCCTCCTATGCACCCTTTTAAATTTACCACTTGAACCTGCACTAATGAGGCCATTTTTCAGTCTAGAAAAAAACCTTAGTGATATGAATCAACTGTTCAATATTAGGCCCTGTTTGGCAACGTTCTGTTAGAGCGTTTCTGCTGTTCCTGGCATTCTTGTGGAGCAGAAACATGTTTGGAAAGAAAATGAAAGAAACAAGGCATTCCCACATGAGAACAGCACCCAAAGAATGTGTTCTTTAGGAGTGACAAATTGATGCTCTCAAAGAACACGTTCTCTGGGAATGCGCGGTTCCCACAACATCCATGTCTAATAACGAACACGTGTGGAACGTTCTCACGTGAGATAAGGAATGCTATTGTCATTTCACGCAAAATATAAACTCAAGCCCTATATAGCAGTCCTCATTCGTTCAACCTCACTGCCGCTGCACAACCCAGAAGAGAGCTGAACTCCTGTGTCAAGAACTGGACGGCAATCGATAGGCACATCTCCGGTGAGGCAGCAAAAGGGGTTGCCGAACCTAAGTTGGAGAGGCTGCCTGAGAACGAGCAGCAAGTCAGCAGCAGCCGTTGAGTCTCTGTTGTCGGCCATCATTGGTTTCCTATGTTCAGCAGTCATTGAGTATCGATTGTTGGCCACCAACAGGTCAGCAACAGCAGGTCATCAGCAGCCATTGTTGTCATTCAACCCATCAATGTCGGAACCCATCATAAAGATCCGATCTTGGTTTCCTTCACCTTGAAGAGTTGCTATGCATGGGGATGATTTCAATCTGCTATCAGCAATGGAGGTCATTACCACCCAGAATTTGTTGTCACCATCGCAGGACAATCCTTGACACTCGTCCCTCTCCTCCACCAATGCAGAATGTTCTTCTAGATGTCATGTCTTCCTGCCACGTGACACATGTTTTTTTTTTGTTAATTTTAGGTTTAATGCAGATGGATTTGCAGAACTGATGTTAAGAAATAGTTTCATTATCCAAACACTGTTTCTGTTTATATAGAACAAAAATCCGTTCTCAAAGAACAATTTGCCAAACACCTCTACTATTCTTGAAGAACAAGAAATAAATATCTTGCTCTAGTACAGGAATTTCTAAAAGAATAGGAACAGGTGGGAGTGTTGCCAACCAGGCCCTTAGTGTCCTGTTTTTTTGGAGTTACTAGGACTTTGGGAATAGGCTCGTCCTGCCTCACCGAAACTTCCTTTTTCTGATTCCTGCCTCTTTCTACCGAATTCTGATTAGCTGAACGCGATGGCTGTTCAGCGGGCTGTGGAACCAATGATGAAGTTCCATGCCAGTAATAAATTCATGGGCCCCATTGTGAAAGGTGCAGGTCCCATGTATTTTATTACTGGCATGGAACCTAATCATTGGTTCCACAGCCTGCTGAACAGTCACTGCGTTCAGCTAAACCTTGCTCCTTTCTACCCAGATCTTCTCTCACCTTCCCCACAAGAACATCTGAAAAAAAAATGTCTTTTCCCCTACATCCTTGCTATTTTGAGTACCTCCATGAATGCACTCACAAGGTCTGCAGTGTGCGTCCTTGAGATTTTCAGCTCTTTCTTTTTCTTTAATCCTTATTCATCTCAGTCCCTTCAAAATATAACACTGCCACATGTTCTCCACCATAAGAGCAACAACAGTCTCTTGTTGAGATTTGAGTAAACCCATAAACCTGGAATAAATCTTCCTTTCCTTTGATGCCTCAATACCCCAACCTGTTTTCCAGGAAATGGGATTCAGTCAGTGCAAAGCCCGTTCAAACAACTATCATAGCCTTGCATTGGGAATATCTCCCCCATGAAATAAAGCATAGAAGTACGGAGATGTTCCCAATGCAAGGCTGTAAAGGCTGTTCGAACAGTGTCCAAACGGGCCTTACACTGATTGAAGCCGATCTCGTTTTCCAGACCGTTGAGCCAAGAATTCATTAACCTGAGCCTTTCCTTGGTGTCTTCTGAGGAGAGATCCTATCCAGGGCATCATTCTTTACCCTCTCTTCCAAGAGTGGTCTGGGTCATATGTTAATTTCACTGTGGCAACATTTCTCTTTTCCTGCTTGACAGTTATGGCCTAAACCAAAGTACATCTTTCTTTGTTTATAAAATGCTATGATAGTAGTAATCACCAAAGTGCAGCTTTCTTGTTTTCTTTTTATTTGTCAATTATGTAATAGTGATAACTTCTGTTGCAAAATAATCATCATTTTTTTGTTGGTACAAACACAAGCATCGTAATTATTATCACTACCACTATAGTTCTTTCTCTATCGGGCTTGTAAGTTGTAATTTGTAAATAGTTCCTTGCTTTGAATCACAATGGAGTATTTTGTGTATGATCAAAAAATGGCTGCAGTTGCAATGTGGCTTTATCCATAACTTGGCATGTGTTGTACCATAGAAAATCAATGCCCACTATTCTCTCTCTCTCTCTCTCTCCAATTCCTTTCAAAATCAATCCTGTTATATCCTTGAACCCACTCTGCTTCTATGACCCAGTGTTTTAAAAGCGAAAAGCGCACAAAAAGTGACAGGTTCTAAATGTGCCTGAGGTGCAAGGCGAGGTGCTTGCCTTTTTAAAAAAGGCGCACAAAATTAAATAAAAAATAAAAAAATAGAAAAGTCATGTAGAAATTCTAAGAAATCAGGAAAATTTCAAAAAACAAAGTTAATTACTTAATTGTTAGCTCAATTGGTTAGATACTTAGATTATTAGACATTACTCATTACTCATTAGAGGTAAAGTATGCAATCAGCTTGTCAGCAATCTGAAGTTAATCAGGAAAATATGCAATCATCAATGATCAATCTTGAATCTACAGAAATAAAAATTAGAGATAAACTGATAAAGTATGCAATCAGCATTAAATATAAAAGAATTATAGAATATGCAATCCACATTAAATATAAAAGAATTAAAGAATATACAATCAGCAATGATTCAATTGGTTAATCAGGAAAATATGCAATAAATCAATAGGCCTAAAATTCAAAGTGGGGGATGGTGGGAAATTGCGGTTTTGGTTGGACCCTTGGTGTGGGGATAGTGCTCTAAAAGATGATTTCCTGGCTCTATTTTCAGTGGCTGCAGATCAATCGGCATTAATAGCTGACTCTTATGTGGTGGGAAATAATGTGGTCACTTGGTCACCAGCTTTTAGGAGAGACTTCAATGACTGGGAGTTGGATATGGTAGCACATTTGCTTGAAGTCCTTCAAAATCATCAGCTGAATCTGCAAACCCAAGATGATTCAAGATGCTGGAAGTGGACAAGGTCTGGGGAATTCTCTGTTAAATCCTTCTATGTGTGACTTGCAGGAGAAGCATGGGATGTGTTCCCCAGTAAATCCATTTGGATAATAGTGGCCCCTTCTAAAGTAAAATTTTTCCTCTGGGTAGCTGTGTTGGACAAATGTTTGACAAAGACCATGCTAGTGAAGATGGGCTTCAATGCCTCTGGGTAGCTGGAGACATCCAGTCATTTGTTCTTGCACTGCAATTTCAGTGCTTCAATATGGAACTATATCCTTGCTACTCTAAACCTGAGTTGGTGTGCTCCAGGGTCAGTGAAGAACCTGCTAAAAGGATGGCCGGTCCAGGGTATGTCAAGGAAAGGGAAGCTGTGTTGGTCATCTGTCCCGGCTGCAACCTTATTGGATCATCTGGCTGGAAAGAAATAGCTGAATTTTTTATCAGAAACTTGTTCAGAAGCAGTGGTGATTAATGCTGCAGTAGGGTTCTTAAAGAGTTGGTTGGCTGCAGTGATTTAAAAGGTGCACCTCAAGCGTGCCTAGGCGCACAGGCGAGGCACATTTTGGGGTATGCGCCTCGCCCAGGTCCTAGGTGCACCTCTTTCAAAAGGCGCACGCCTGGTGTGCCTAGGCGTGCGCCTTTTGAAAATTTTGCGCTTTTTTCTTTTTTTTTTGCCCCCGGACCCCCGACCACGCCCCTCGATGCAAGCCCGAACAAGTCTGTGTTAGGGTGTGAAATTCTTATTTCTCACATAAAAGATAATGATTTTACAACTTTCATTGCCTTTTAAGAAGATAATTTTATTGCAATGAATGAATGAACAACATAGCACGCCCCCGGACCCCCTATTTGCTTATGTTGTTCATTCATTCATTGCAATAAAATATCTTCTTAAAAGGCAATGAAAGTTGTAAAATCATTATTTTTTATGTGAGAAATAAGAATTTCAGACCCTAACATAGACTTGTTCGAGATTGCCTCGAGGGGCATGCTACAAAGGCGACTCATAGAATCAAGAATGCAATATGTTTTACATCACATTAACTACTTGAAGCAATGCAATTAAGGATTTGAATACACTTTACATGTTATGTTTGTGTATTTTAATTTTAGATAATAGGTTTTTTAAATCATTTATTTTAAAATTTAAGTTTATATTTTTATTAACATTATGTTTAATATTTTTTAATTTTTTTGCATTTTTTTTTAATTTTTTGGCATTTCTTTGGAATTTTCTGACTTTTTTTATTTTTTAGCCTTTTTTTTGTAATTTTGCACCTTTCTTAAAAAGGCGTGCGCCTCGCCTTGCGCCTTGCACCTCAGGCACAAATTGGCCCTTGCGCTTTTTTTGCGCCTTGTGCTTTTAAAACACTGGTTGGCTGTTCATAATGTATTTAGAAATGATATTTTTTTTTCTTCCTTTTTGAGGGTGGACTTTTTTGGGGGTCCATTTTGGGTAGTCTTGTACAGTTTCTCGTTGTACAAAGGACCTTGATCAGGTTTTATTTCAATATACTATACTTTGCCTTTTTCAAAAAAAAAATGCAATAAGTACAGAATTAAGAAATCATCATTAAATAATTAAAGGAGACTAGACAACAAAAAAAATAATAACAGAACAGTATAACACATTCAATGGTTCAATATAAAAATATAAAATATAAATATAAAAGAATTAAAGAATATGATTATGAGGACAACCTATACAACATTAAATAATCAGCATTAACGAATTTAAAAGACACTTACCTCTTGGTATCAGTATCCTCTCCATGGCTCACACTGTCACACTCACACGTAACAAAATCAATATAAAAATTAATCATTTATTGTAATAAGCAAGTAAGGAATCAGATTTGAAAAATATTTCAAAAAACAAGCTATATATTAAGTATTTAAATATGCAATATCAATTTTCTAATGTAAAAAAAAGGTTCTTTCATCAATCATCACATCATTCACAAAGCACAACCTATACAAAAAGCAAGTTTACTGCCTATACAAAAACCTCAAAATCATATCTCATATGTCCATTGACTCCATTCGTCCATTCTTGATTCTTCTTTCCTCAAGATTCCAGCATTCATTCTTCCTAATCATTTTCCTCTTCATTTGGAAATTCCATATCATCTTCATACTCATCAGATTTGTAATCATTGATATTCTCTTCTTCTGTTTCTTCTTCTATGTCAAATTTATCTTCATCTTCCAAATGAAGTTGGGAATTTGATGTGCTAGGTCTTCTGGAATTGGTTGCCTTGGGCCACTTGGCTCGTAACTGTGAAGTTGAGCTTGAGCCTCTAGATCTTGGATATCTTAGTGGCTCTTCTACTCCATAAGCACGAGCAACATCTCCCCATGTCAGTGAATTACTATCAAACACCAAATCATCATCAACCCCATCCATCTCTCCCAATAACCACTCATTACTCTCATCAATATCTTTTAGAGAGATGGGATCGGTGTAACTGCGTGAATCAAAAACTCTCTTTCAGCATCTGGTTGAACTTAATAAACCCCAAATCATTTAATCGCTTTTGATCCAAGCGATTCCTCTTTTAGTATGAATCTGTGAATTCATAAAATAGCATTGAATTACTAAAAAATTTGAAATTTAAATGTAGAATATAAATATAAGATAAATTATTACACAAGTAAATTTATTAAAGACATACATGCTCAAACACACTCCAGTTTCGCTTGCAACCAGATGCACTGCATGTTAAACTAAGAATTTTGATAGCAATTTTTTGTAGATTTGGAGTTGAAGCACCAAATGCTGTCCACCAATCAGCTGAAAAATATAAATATTAACTAAATTAGAAAATTGGCTAAATAAAAATAGCAATTATTAAAAAAACTAAACACAAATATTAATTGACTATTTATAGCTAAACAAGGGGCTTCTCGGGTTTCTTTGTATTGGGCTACTTTATAAACTGCAATCTGATAAGAGTTTGGGTTTGGAATCATCCTTGAGGGAAGGTAAAGTATTTCATTAAAGAAGAGAAGGAATACAGGGAGCCTGCACAGCAAAGATGCTGAGCAGGAAATCAAAAAAAAAAAAAAAAACTTTATACATCCCAATGGTGATTGTACCATTTCTAACCCCCTTTAATAAAAACATCATTCATTTATCAAAAAAAAAATCAACGAATAAAAAAACAGAAAGAATGCACAAATTTTCAAAAGGTGCATGCCTGGGCTGAAGCACAAGGTGCACCAGGCGACCTTTTGAAAGTGTTGTGCCTAGGACCTAGGTGAGGCGCATACCCTCAAATGCACCTTGCCTTGCACCTAGGCACACCTTTTAAATCACTGGGCTATTAGCAGACTTTGGGGGTCCACTTATAGCTTGTTTTCAACTCCTCTGCCGATTATATTATCTTCCTTATTGATGCGCCTATATATCCAAGAGCCTGCATTGTTTTTGTTAGCCAACACAACTGTTTTAGAGTTTCCTTCTACTGTTTTCTAACTCTACAAAGAGAATATGGATACTCTTGGTCCATATCCCTTGAAATAAGATGCTCAAAAGTGAGAGTTTTGTCCACTTTTCTGGCCACATGGAGATATTTCACCCCCCCTTTCATTTTAATTATATTGTTTTCCTTAAAGCTGATAAGATCATTATACTATTATTTATTGTAACGAGTAATTTTCATAGAACTGAAAGATACAGATTAGGAGATGTTTTAGTTTATCAAACTTGTTCAATTAACCCATATAGAGATGTACAGTCACTCACTGTATGGGGAATTTCCTCCTCTTTTACCACAGAAATATAGTTGTCATTTGCCTTTTCTCAAAAAAAAAACAGTATCATTAATTCTGAGTTTCTTCTGTACCTGACTATGCTAATCTATTAATTTCAGGATGCATTTGTCTTATGGGACACCTATGGATTTCCACTGGATCTGACTCAGGTATGTGGAGTACAACCATTTCTCTTGTTATACCTTTTCCTTGGGCTTGTATGGGTGTGAGTCTGTCACTTTCATATCTACTTACTCTTCTTTTCATCAGCTGATGGCAGAGGAAAGAGGTCTTACAGTAGATGTGGAGGGTTTTAATACTGCCATGGAAGAAGCAAGAAAAAGATCTAGGAGTGCACAGAATAAGGTATGGAATCATTACCTAATTAGTCTCTTCTCTATATTTGTTTTACCTTAAAAACTTTGGACTAGACTGATCTTTAGATGCTTTCAGATGGCATGGTATGTTATGCTATTACATAAGCAGGGTATCATTACCTCATTAGTCTCTTCTCTATGTTCATTTTACCTTAAAAACATTGGACTAGACTGGTATATTTTCCTAAAATACCAGGGAATGAATTCATAGTCAACTTATTTGGTTTGGTTAAATCTCTTTTTTTTTTGGGTTTTTTTTTTATGCTGTTTGTTGTTACATCAATTACTTGCAGCAAGCTGGTGGTGCAATTGTAATGGATGCTGATGCCACCTCTCAGTTGCACAAGAAAGGAATATCTCCAACTGATGACAGCAGCAAGTTTATATGGTTCCAGGTTAGTGAAAATACATGGTTGTGGATTTTACCTACAGGAATATAGGGAAATTGAGTCAACCTATCTGTACATATAATCAATGTTAACTTTCATCAATTTGGTTTGAGTCATTTTAATTGTCTTGGTTGGACAATTTAATGTTGTCTTGATGTCTTCCATGGCTAAGGTTTCTTGTGTTTAATGAAATGTTTGCTTTGACATGGATAATTCATCCCTTGAGCACAACTTAAGTTTGTCTTTTTTGAAATTCAGGATCATGAAAGTGTGATAAAAGCCATTTATACTGGAGCAGAATTTGTGGAGAGTGCCACTGCAGGTGACGAAGTTGGTGTTATTCTAGAAACCACAAGTTTCTATGCTGAACAAGGTGGACAGGTACTGTACGCCCTACCATGTAACCCTGTTTTGAAAAATAATGTGTTAGTTTAATCTACCCTGATATATGGTAAATAAGGATGTATATTGCAGAAGAGAGATGTGTGTGTATACATACATATGAGTATATATATATATATAACCATAGACATTTACTATGTACACATTCGCATCATTAGAACCAAATTGGAAATCCTTCAATGAGACCAATGTTTTAAAACACGGAGGCATGACGCGAGGCGTTCCACTACCTAGAGGCGTGAGGCATAGTTCAGAACGCAAGAGGTGTAAGCCTCCTTAAGAGGAGGGGGGTTAGGATGAGGATGAAGAGGAAGGGGGATCTCATTTTTTCTTTATTTTTAATAAAAATCTTTTATATTAAGAAGAATAAAGATGTGCATAACAAATTGGGCTCCATCAAAAAGGGGGCAGGCGGGTCTGGGGGGCAGGGGACAAAGTGGCAAAGGCAAACCACTTTCTTTCCCCTTGTCTTTTCTTCCCTTTCCTTTTCTCTTTTTTTCTTCTCTTTCTTTTTCTTTCCCTTCCCTTTCTTTTCCTTTCTTTTTTTCTCTTTTTTTTTCTGTCCCTTTATATAAGATGTGCATGAGGCATACACCTCTAGCACGCCTCATGAAAAAAGCGCAAGAGGCGTACACCTCTTGCACCGGAGGCATACGCCTCAGGACGTTTTGGGAGCGCCTCCAGGTGTACGCCTCCCATGCCTTTTAAAACACTGATGAGACATATAAGTTGGCAAGGGCATCCAGGGGACATTAAAATAGGAACAAAGATGAACAACCTGACACATGTAAAATAATTGGTATAGATATGTATGCCAAAGGTGAGGGTGGGCCTTGGTGCAACTGTTGGGTTACTCCATTGTGACCTGGGTGACCAGGGTTCAAAGGAAACAACCTCTCTGTATGTGCAGGGGGTAAGACTGCGTACTTCTGTCCCGCCCCAGACCCCACATTGGCGGAGCCTTGTGCACTGGGCTGCCCTTTTTTATATGTACGCCAAAGGTAAAGAATGATACAAATGAAAAAGATTTTGAGTTCGATTTCTGTTTTTTGAGTGTTCTTTTGGTTATTCTTCTGTGAATTCCTATTTTTAAAGAAGATAGTGTGCAGACAACACTGTCACTACGTGAAAATTACTTGATTGTAGAAGATAGTGTTTACTCTTATTATGCTCCTTCCTTTCTGAATGACTTTGGATGTTTTCTTTAACTCTTCATAATTTTTGTGAATTCTGAGGACCTAATGTCAGTTACCAATAATTTTAATATGAGAAGATTCAGGAATTTCCTTCTGAAGGACATGTTATTGTTCACTAGTTAGTTATGGCCATCTTTACTATATTCCTTTTACCCCTGCATCTTTGTCCTTTTACCCTGCTGACATATTGACTTGTGCAATATGCCTCAACAATCTGCCTTTGATATGTGTTGATTTGTTTTCAGATATTCGACACCGGATCACTTGAAGGGTCCTTTGGATCATTTCAAGTTCTTAATGTTCAAATTTTTGGAGGTTTTGTCCTCCACATTGGTTCTATTGCTGGAGGAACTGGCAGGTTCACTGTGGGTGATAAAGTAGTCTGTAAGGTGAAACATTCTATTCATCCTAGCTATCCTATTTTAAGTTTTCTTTTCTTTGGTTGTTGTAGTTGTCACCATCTGCAGTGCTTGATGACATGACCAGGTAGACTATGACCGGCGGACTCTTATTGCCCCTAATCATACCTGTACCCACATGCTGAACTTTGCCCTCAGGGTATGCCACAATCACTTCAATACGTGCATCTGAACTTTGGTTATCTGTTTGTATTTGATTCTCTACATTTTCTATGCTACGAATGCAGGAAGTGCTTGGTGATCATGTTGACCAGAAGGGATCTATTGTTCTTCCTGAAAAATTGCGATTTGATTTTTCCCATGGTAATAGTTTATTCCATCATATGGATCCATTCTAGTGCATAGACTTATTTCTGAAGCACCCTCAATATTTTTAACAGGCAAGCCTGTTCATCCTGATGATTTGAGAAAGGTTGAGTCAATTGTGAACAAACAAATAAGAGATGAATTAAATGTGTTTGCCAAGGAGGTAAACCTTGCTGATGCTAAACGTATAGCTGGTTTACGAGCTGTATTTGGGGAAGTAAGTTCCTTTTTTCCTCTCATCATTGTCCTGTTGAATTTGGCAAGAAACAAGTTAGCATTAGCATATCAGATCTAATTATTGATTGGTCTATCTATTTATTTCTGCTATGTGCTGATGTAGGTATATCCTGACCCAGTCAGGGTTGTGGCAATTGGTGGAAAAGTGGAGGATCTTCTTGCTAATCCAGATAATAAAGAATGGTTATCAATCTCAACAGAACTTTGCGGAGGTTAATGCCATTTCATAACATAATCTTCCTTTCATGTGATACTTTTTATTGCTCTTCATGGCATTTTTTGATGCATGTCAAACTCTTCACTTGGTGCTAGTGTCCTACAGGACTAAACTTGTCATTCTGTTGTTTTTTCCCTGTACACATGCATACAAGTTTGTAGTTGTGGAACCTTCGTACTGTGTAGTGAATTCCTTTTAATGTTATTTTGGAACCTGATTATGTGGAGATATCCAGGGACCCATATATCAAATACACGAGAGGCTAAAGCTTTTGCTCTTTTATCTGAGGAGGGAATTGCTAAGGGTGTCCGAAGAATAACTGCTGTTACAACTGATTGTGCTTTTAAGGCAATAGAATCAGCACGTTCACTAGAGCAGGAGATCAGTGATGCAGCTAAATTAGATGTAAGCCAGATGGAGAAGGTAGCCACCGAATTCCTTTTCACCCTAGAATGATATAACTATGCATTGCGGAACATTTTAGCCACTGAAATTCCTTTTTATCATGGAAAATATATAACTATACAGTTATAACTGTATGCTGTATTTCAATGTGCATTTTTCCTTTTTATCTTGTGTGGGCAGCATGTCATGTTTCACAATTCGCAAGAATCCAATTGATGAATTCTATTATTTCCTTTTTTTTTGAAGTTGATATCGAATTATCATGCAAACAGTCGAGATAAACCAACCTTAATACATTTTGAGATGTTCCTATGAAAATTTTATGGGATCTGTGTGGTCCACGATGATTCAGTGGAAGATGGATATAGATATAAGGAACTTGTAAGTATGCTACTAGTTGAAAAAATTAAGGCCAAATTTTAAAATTTTAGTGTCAATGGAACTACTGTTCATCTAAGAATAGGAAACATGGTTGAAATATCAGAACTGTTGCATAGAAATACACTTAGAAGTTATAGAAATATTGAAAACAATGTAAATCCTTGCAAATATTCTGTGATATTTTAAATTTTTAATAGATGATAAAATGTACAGTTATGAGAATTGTTTCTTAGAAACATTTTCTGTTAAAATATATTTAGTAATATCATATTTTCTGTTAAAAGTTTGTTTGGGGTGTAAGCTGGTAATCTAGGGCTCTAAGTATGCAGTTTCTTACTGTATAGGAGTGGGACAGACCTAATTTTGGGGGCCATGCTTATTGTATTCTCCCCGTCTTTCATTAATATGTTGCTTTTTTCAATTGAAATTGAAAAAAAAAAAAAAACAAATGACAACAGAAGCATAAATGCACACTTTTAAATTATAGTGTTATCATCAAGTATAATATAAAAACTAGGAATATAATGTAAATAGACAAAAGTATATTCTATTGGATAATCCAACTAAATACATATTTTGACAACAAATCACCAATTATGTGAATTTATACTAAATTAACTGAAGTAATGGAAGATTAGTTGTATAACAAAAAAATAATGGTAGATGTTGTTCCAATGTAAATAATAATGCCAGAATATACGTTTAAACGTATATTTATATGATGACCTTTACTAATCCACTCGTGTCTATTTATTTTGAAGTTTGTCAATAGGGCTTGAAACTGAAATATGTCAATCAACATTTCCAGCATATTTCAATGCTTGTACCCATGATTAAGGCCAATATTTTTCTACATGGAACTTTGAGAAGCCAAGCTTCTTTTGACCCATTGAAGATGACTTTGCTGTATGTTTCCTGTGTAAAGTCATGGCAGTTGATAGAACTAGATCACTTTTTATGTTTGGATGTATGGATCAACAAAAACCTGCCATATAATTTTATTCGTCCACTGTGTCCAACTCAAGGTGGAGTAAGTGAAAAACTTTTACAAAGAAGAGCTCATAGAGAAGATAAAGAGAAAAGTGAAGAGAAAGGAAATTCTCATATTTCACTTGACTCAGCACAAAAATAAAACCCTGAGTATGCAATTCATTGTACATATCCCACATTAAAAAGAAAAGAAAGGGATCTTTAACTACTACTAATTGTCTTTAAAAAATTCTTAATTGGATTTGAATATTTCACTTGTAATTTGAATAAAGAATCTAAATAGAGTTGGAATTTTCAACCTAGCTTAGGTGCCAAAATTGTAGCATTGTGGCATGATTTTATATTGTTGATATATTTATCAATAAAAGGAAGAGTATGTATTTAAGTCTCATCCAATATATCATTTTCCTAGCTAATACTTCCTACGGTAACTTGCAAAATTTCTTTTTCCTGTCAATTCAATGGATTTTTTAATGTTTGCAAATTTTAATGGTGAAATTTGTTATAATATACCATTTTTTCTGTCCACAGAATATATGAAGAAATTGGTAGGATATACTGTATGTAGCTAGAAGCTTCTGTGCGCAGTTTGTGCTGTTGGCAGTGTCAGAGCATGTAATATAGTAGGATTAGGATGGTGAAGCATTTTGAATGGTGGGAGACTGGGAGTTTCATGATGCCATTAGCAACATGGGCACAAAACTCACAATTTCCATTTTCCAATATATTAATGGGCTATTTTTGTTTCATCAATGTTTTACTTACACCATTGCCCCTTTTGTGTATACGTAAAGTGGATCCATATGAAGCCTCATTTAAGTGATAGGCCTCAATGGAGACTAAAACTCCTGTAGTTGACAAAGAAAAGTCATTCCATCCACATGAACTTGTTAAAAAGGCCACTAGTCACTAGAAAATACTTGTTTTTTTTTCTGAATATTCAAAAATGTCATGGACTATCATTAAGAAGTTCTTGATTACAAATAAATTGGACATTGGATTTTGCTACAGTTACCTTAATTTTGCTCCTATAAGAATGACAAAAATTTGCTTCTATCAGAACTAAAGGATCTATTTAGATGCAATTTTTTATTGATACCAGTCTTTAACTAGGCTAAGTTTCAAATTTTCTTCTCTGTGGACAACATTATGTATTCTTTGAAAATGCAGTCTGATTTGAATGTTTTCATGTTGCCAGAAAGTTGCTTCTTTGAAAAGTCGTGTACAATCGGCAGCTATTCCAGCAACCATGAAAGCAGATCTTGGAGCCAAAATTTCTCAACTTCAAGTAAATTTTCCCTTAAAATACTGCACTAGTTTCTCTTTCAGAGAGAATTTCTCTAGTGTCAGAACTCAGAACATCTTTAATTGCTAACTTTAAATCTTGGGTTAAAGGAAACTGTTTTTTTTTCCTTTTTTTTTATTTCAGGATCAAGTTAGAAAGGCAACAAAGAAGATTGCACAAGAAAATATTCAAAAAGCTACAAAAACAGCTGCTGAAATGGCAGATATTGCTGCTACTAATGGAAAAGCCTTCTGCATCTGTCGTGTCAATGTTGGTCTGGATGCAGCTGCAATTCGTGAAGCAGTTATCAAAACTATGGACCAGAAGGTTCTTGTTTGCAGCTTATGACTTTTCCATTATTTTTTGTAGAATTATTTTCAAAGATTGTCAGTGAAAAAAGCTAGGTTCGTTCTGAAAAGGTTGGAGAATACAAAGTCTTTTCCCTATTCTCATCAACCTTTACCACCAACAAATGTGTGGATGCATGCATGCACATGCACCAGTGGCATGTGGGAACCCCCCTTCCTCCAGCTGCTTGCTAGAAATAAAACAACTAAATGGAAACATGGTTATTCGATTCACAAGCATGTCTTAGGTTTATTGACTCCAATTTACTATCTTTGGATGCACAGGGTATGTCAGTTATGATATTCAGTACAGATGAGACCACGAACAAAGCTGTGGTGTGTGCTGGGGTTTCTGAGAATGGTAGTAAGAGCAAGGATTTAGATTTGTTAGAGTGGTTTACAGCTGCAATGGAGCCTCTCAAAGGACGAGGTGGTAAAGGAAGTGTTGGCAAACGTTTCTATGCTCAAGGACAGGTAAGTTCTTTCATATGGTTTAGGGTCCAATTTCTTGGGAAACATCATTTTTTTCACTTATGGTAAAAGGGATTTCTTCTATAGCTCCTGTCCTCGTTATTTCTGCCAATCTAACTGTATTGATGACTTTGTTTCAGGGGACAGATGCATCACAAGTTCAGCAGGCCATTGAAATTGCAACAGCCTTTGCATCAATGAAATTGAAATAACAAACACTAGTCATTCTGCTCTTGCCAGCAAAACTAGAAGTTCCTTTCATTATACTTGATGCTGATTGATAGTGAATCAGAAATTTGAAGCAATAGGGGAAAAGGGACCATAATGAAGAAAAAAAGTGAAAAAGAAAATATGAATTGTTTTATCTTGAATGATTATTATTTTTTCCTTGAATAGATTGTGAAAGTAAATATTCATGTGAACAGATGATAGCTTATATTTACAAAGATTTTGTTTTGCTAGAATTTTGAACTTAATTTACTGATTGGCTTTGATAATGAAGAACTGTGAATATTCTGTCAGGGAAATTAACTATAAATAGGAATAGATTTGTTCAGCACTTGGAGCTTGGAAAAAATGGCAACGAACTTAATTTACTGATTGGTTTTGATAATGAACTGTGAATATTCTGTCAGGGAAATTAATTGTAAACAGGAATAGATTTGTTCAGCACTTGAGAGCTTGGAAAAAATAGCAAGTCACTGTATTTTCATGTTCGGTATTGTTGATATGTTGATATGCAGGTTGTTGATTTGGGGCATGCAATTTAAAATCGAACAAATATGGCCTTTGGATTGGGAAACAGTATTTCTGTAGTGGAGCCTGTAATGCTTAATAAACTAGTTTATTGATTGTAGAAGATCAAGTTATTGGTAGGAAGTCCTACCAAGACTGTTTTAAACGTGGATGGGGAAGTCTTACATGGCATAAGCCGGGGGGGAGAAGTCAAAATCTGAGCTATGTTTTGTAGCAACTGCTGAAAATGGCTTAATTGGATGACTTCTGATGGACATCTTAGTTTCAATAGATTTGCAATGGCACCTTTATGTCAGGTATATAACTTGTAAGTTCAATCAAATACAAAACTGAGTACAATCAAATAGAGTGAACAAAATCTCTCTTTGGAGTTCTAAATTCCCTCTCTGGTAGTTCCATTATTTTTTTTTTGTCCACATCAGAATGTACATAGACCTAAAGATTCAGAAAAGAAAACAAAGATCTCAACAATTGATCCCGCATTGCTTAGTGTCAGGGCCCTTAGCTTTTACCACAAATGGGTCAATTCGGACCCAGAGCAAAGAGAATATGGAAGCTAAAAGCACTGACCAGATGACAACAATAGTAGGAGTCCGGTTCTGGCGCCCCATGAGACCTTTGAGGAATGGGTAGAGATGGACAATCACCCAGAAGGCGAAGAAGAGCTTTCCAAAGAGTGGCCCCCATGACTGGTACCCATTGTTTATGGCGTCTGATATACCTGCAACTACCCCAACCAGGTTGATGATTAGGAGAGTTGTAGGAGGGATCAACAGGGTGGTCCATTTGAAGGTGTAGAGCTCTCCAAACTCTTCATCGTCTGAAGCCTTGGAAGTGACAGTGAAGTTGGTGTCAATTCCAGCCAAGATCTTGAGAAGACCTTGTACCACGGCGAAGAGGTGGGCTGAGACACCACCAATGACCCAGAACTGCTCGTTCCTCCACCATTCCTCAATGCTTACTCCACTCCATCTCAGCTCCAGAATGCCCGTTGCAAAGATTGAAATGAAGAGTGCAATGAAGAATAGACTCGCAAATGTACTTATCTGGATCACACAGAAAACAGATTAAGAATTTTGTTGCACTACTACAAATGAATGTATGATGATGTGAACAGTGAAATTGTTACCGTAGGCATGATGAATTTTCCGGTGAGCAAGCAAATGGCCGGGAGGGTACAGTAAGCGAGCAGAGGTAAGGAGGTGAATGGGTAGACAGTGGTGTTGATGTACGCAAAGCGCTCAAGAAACTTCAAGTTTCCACCCTTGTAGCCATACCAGAGAGGACTGTGGCGACTGAAGAAGATCTCAACAGAGCCAAGAGCCCATCGGAGAACTTGGTTGAGACGGTCAGACAAGTTGATGGGTGCAGAGCCCTTGAATGCAGGTCTCTTGGGCATGCAGTATATTGACCTCCAACCCCGGCAATGCATCTTGAAGCCTGTAAGAATGTCCTCTGTGATAGACCCATAAATCCAGCCCAGCTGCACATTCAAAACCAACCAAGAAGATTTATAATAAATCAAACAACCAATCCTATCCTGTCCTCTTTCTGCCTAGAAAATTCCAAGCAAAATGCCAAAACTTCTGGCCATGGACTCATGGGCATTACCTCGGTACCCCATTCTGTCTTGTCCTCATAGCCACAGCTAATAACATGAATGGCTTCCTTCAGAAGCGCTGCTGGACTTGAAGAGGGAGGGACACCACCTTCCTCCATCAGAGTTGAAGTCACAAATGCTGCCGACTGTCCAAATCTTTTCTCGAAATTCATTTGAGACATCAACAGTGCCGTGTCTTCCTCCAATCCTGATGAAAAGAAAACAAGTCATTCAATTGAACAGAAACTAGGATACAGGGGTTTCATTAAGAGGGCAAATGTCCTCAAGATTACCTTGTGCAGACCCTTCTCCACTCGTACCGCCATGCTTGGAATACTTGGGGAGCTTCTTCCGACGTCCGAAACATGGGCAGCAGTCACAGCTTACCATCTTGGGACGCTTTGGACCCTTTGGAGGCTCATATCCATACAAAGCTTGTCTTCTGAAGACACATCCGGTACCCACATAAACTGGACCCTGAAGTCCATCTAGACCTTTCATGTTAATCTGCAGAAACCAGGAACATGATCTTACTGATTTACTTCTTGGCTTCAGGTGGACTACAAAATGCAGTACTAAGAGTGTAGCCCAAAGGTTGGATTTGGAATGGGACTTACATCAAAGAAGACAGTGTTTCTGTTGGCATATCGATCATGCTTGTCAATGCCATCGAACCTCTGAGGAAACTGTACATAACAAACCTTCCTTCCAACCTGGGGATCCATCAAGAAACACATTGCCTCCCTGACGGCCTTGCTGTTGTTCACGTAGTGGTCACAGTCCAAGTTCAGCATGAAAGGAGCATTGGTAAGCACTGCAGAAACTCGAACCTGCAAAAAATCCAATGAGAGTTCTCACTGTATGTAATGGTGCAAAGTAGAAAAATCCAAAATCCAACAGCTTAAATCATTGATACCCACTTCAAGTTACTCAACGCAGAATTTTATTTCTTATGGAATTTGAACATAATCAGGGATAACTGTGTTGGATCCTTACCAGGGCATTGGTGCAAAGTAGAAAAATCCAAAATCCAACAGCTTAAATCATTGATACCCACTTCAAGTTACTCAACGCAGAATTTTATTTCTTATGGAATTTGAACATAATCAGGGATAACTGTGTTGGATCCTTACCAGGGCATTCATGGCTCCAGCTTTCTTGTGATGCTGAAAGCCAGGCCTCTTCTCACGAGAGACATAAACAAGGCGAGGTAGCTCATTGCCTTCAGAATCAAGACCTCCACTGTGACCAAGGAAGACTTGAATCATACCAGGATGATCTTTGATATTGTTTCCTGGCCATGGCGTTCCGTCCTGCATGATCCACCCTTCTGGAGGAACCTTCATGGCCTTAGCAACCAGAGCATTTATCCTGACCTTAAATTCTTCATATTCTCTCTGTCAAACAAGAAGAAATAGTGCAATTTCAGCACAAAAAATGATGGGTTTGAGCAAAATGCAGGCAGATTGTAAGAAAGTGAGAGTTGTCAACCTTCATGGCTCGACGCTCCTTGACGAATGTAGGCTGGACTTTGTCCTTGAGGTAGTCCACCTTTTGAGAGAAGTACATCTCTGGAGCTCTGGGCTCAATGGCGAATTTCTTGCAGAAGGGTACCCATTTCCGAGCAAACTCAGCAGTTTCAGAGAGTGATTCAAATGTAAGCATGGAGGCTCCATCATCAGAGACATAGCAAGAGATCTTGTCAACTGGGTAGTCCATGGCCAAGATTGAAAGCACTGTGTTAGCTGTAACCAGGGGAGGTTCCTTCAATGGGTCCACTGTACTCACAAATATATCCACCGGAGATAACATGGATGGTTCACCTTCTCTCTCATACCTGCATTATGAAACACAACCCAGGAACAGAAGTTCAATCTTAGCTGTTTCTATGACAGAATTACAACTAAAGAAGTCCGATTGAAGAACCAGGCAATCAACCAAGAACTATGAGAACTGTCATTCCTGGTTCAAATGGCTGACCATCTGGTCTGGTCCAAGTCTGAAATCACTCATGTGAAGTGCTCTGCTTCCGTGTAAGACTACTGTACCTTAGAGAAAGACGATCGAGGTAGGTCTCACGATCAATGGGGAACCATTTGGGGAATTGATCAAGGATCCAAGAGAAGGCAAACCAGATCTCACATATGACAGAGGTGAGCCATAGCCCAATGGCATCATGAACTGGGTTTAGAATTCGATAGCGAAGGAAGAATGCAAGGACAACCAGCCGGGTCACGATCACCATACGATATGGGTTGACCTTGCTTGATGCAATGGGTACTTTTCTTGAAAGTGGTTGCCTAGCTTCATCCATCCTGCAACGTGGAGCACAATAACATTGTCACATCTTACAAGTTACACTACAACAAGGGTAGATTTGTGAGGTAACTTGAGTGGGTCACTGTAATGTGGGCCCATCACCCAGTCTTTTCCAGTGAAATTTGAGGGAAAAATCATTGGTGGGCCCATCTTCTTGGGATCCTTAGCAATCATGGCATTCTTTATACCTTTTTTCCTATATCATTGTAACACTGAATCAGTGTAACAGTCTCAATTTCATCTTTATTGCCTTCTTGGTGACATTGAGACCAGAAAGTGGAAACCTAGAGTTGGGTCAGGTTAGCATGGAACTGGTTCTGCACAAGAATTGGGTTGAATTGATTGGGTCATTCAATCTGATTGGTTGGAATGAGTCATTCCTAATCCAACTGTTTGGTTGGGCTGAATCAGAATTTGATTCTCATTCTAACTAGGGGATGTTTGGAACCGTGGCCGTTTTTCAAAAAAATGGTGTCATGTCGGATCCACATAGGCGTTTCAACAAATGCCCATGTATCTCATTGTTTGGTTCAGCCGATTATTAAAAAATTGGGCATGTCTAGAAAATCGGGACCCCACCAATGCATGAAACACTAAATTTGGCGTTTCATGCATCGGTGAACCATTTCCCCCGACGGTTGACTGATGTGTATCCCATATGGTGCTTATCTGTCAGTACATACATGAAAAACGGTGATGAAAATTACCTTACCAAACAGCATAGTATTGCTCACTGCCTACGTGGCAGAAGCGTTTTCTTGTAAAAACGGGTCTTGGAAGCATAGACGTTTTTTTTTGTAAATCGATCCCAAAAAATGCCCATACTTCCAAACACCATATAGGATAGGAGATCACATTAACACTCTATGAGGGCGCCCCACATGTACATCTCAGTATCTCACTATGCATTGGAAACATTTTCCATACTTATCATGGGGAGATATTCTCAATACACGGGTGAGAGGTGTTTCCTCCCCCTATCTTGGGAATGAGAACTCGATTCTAGTTAATTCTAATATTGATTTCAATTCCCGTTATCCTGTATGAACCAAACCAAACAGGTGGAAGAGAATAGATCATTCCAATTCTGATTCCGAGGGATTTAGATTCTATTTCCGAGTGCAAAGCAAATAGACGCGGATTGGGATCAACTAATCCAGCCTTTGTGATTCTGTAGCTAGACCCATTGGTCCAACCAAATAGAATCGACCCAGATCCTTTTCCGGTCCATAGGACTCCTAAGTGCTGCAGGTTTGGACAAAATAACACATACAAAGGCATGTCCGGGTCGACCACATCGTCCGGGTCAGGACCCAAATTTCCTTGCTGCTTCAGTTTCCAGTCATCCATTCTCTCTTTCCAACCTCCCTTATCATCCCATCTCGTGCTTCCTGTGTATCAAAATTATCAAACAAAAAGAACAATCAATTCTCTGAAACTGGCTTTTCACATATATGAGGTTCCATGGAAATCAATCCCAGAATGATTTCTTACCAGGCTCAGAAGCTGGGTAAGGATGTATACGTTTATGGAGGGCAGATGACAGCATCTCTCCATAGGCGTGCCCAACCGGGAACTCCCCACTCACCTGCTTTCATGAAAATTGTATTATTAGACTTCATTCCAGAATTTCAAGGAACATTTGTTAGCTTTTCAAGTTTCCAGGTTTCCGGATTACTCACCGGCCGGGATCTCACACCGGCGATAACGGGTGGGTACTGAGTGCTCTCGTCGACGTCGGGTCCCCTCCCGTAGCTCATCTTCCCGTAAAGCATTGCTTCTGTGAGATGTTTCTGCTTGTTTTGCTCATCTTCGATATTGAACTCGTGCTCCAGATCATCCACGTCTTCTTCATCCTCATCTCCTTCAACCCTCGGGCTCCCTTCATTTATCAAAAGATAACAGACGTACAAATTAAGGACTAATTAATTAATGAACTCTGTGTATGCTTGTTTAATTTCTTCTGAAAATCCAGATAAATAAGCTTGATGAAGATGCTTTCTGCAAACTAAGTAGTCGAGAGACAGAGAAACTGAGAAAGAAGAAATTGTTGATTAATTACATTACCTTTGAGACGCTTGTATCTGGTTTTGCACTGGGGACACTGTTGGCTCCCTTCTCTCCTCTCATACTCATAACAAGGCCGGCACACCGGAAAACCACACTCGTTACAAGCCACAAACAGGTCGCCTTCGGCCGTGATTCCCACCTCATCCCCACATATCTCACAGACCTGACCATTTAATGACTTCAATTGCTTTGGCTGAAATGAGACAGAAACCGAAAAGGTTAGTATTGCAAATACATATTTGTATGGAATTTTCTTTGTTTTCTACATCTGAACTCTGATTGTATTTGTTTTCTTTTACCTCTTCATGGCCATGGATGACAACGAGTTCATTCCGGTTGTGAGATCCGGCAACCAGTCCAGCACTCGCCTCCATCGTCGTTCTCCGATGGATAAGTCCAGGGTCTCGGAGAATGCAGGTAGACTTCTCTGGTTGTTCTTTTTATTGGTGGAGGTAAGCTCTCTATCTCACTCAAAGTTTCTACGGCTGGCGCTGTTGGTTGCAGAGTCGCCATTGCCGTGAAGTCAAGCTACGTCCATTCAACCACCATGCATTCTCTCCTGAGCTTTCTCCAACGACCATTTTGACGAAATTACCCCTTATTTTTCTTACAATAGCCACCTAGTCCTTTAACCAAATAATTGATCTTTTAACTGTCTAGAGCCTTTTAGGGCACTCATTGCTCTTTTTTTTAGTGGATAAATAGGGGACGTTTGATAATGGATGAATTGAGTGACTTATTATTGCTCTGTGAGAACTTTTCTGAATAAGTGGGCTTCCATTGTGATAAACTTTTGCTTTGCAAAAAGTGTTTACAGATAGTAAGAATTAACTGCTTTTACAAATAACGCAAAACACTTATAAGCCCCGCACCACAACAACTAAAATTGAGTAATGGGTTTTGTGCTTTGGGGCTTTAAAGGCACAAATCAATGAAGGATATCCAAACACAGCCTTAGTTTCAGCCATTAAAGAACTCACAAGTCACAACCACAATTAATATTCAGACAAAGCAATAATTCACACTTAGAAAAACGACTTCTTATTTGTACCAAAAAAACAATAAATGGCTTCTTAATCTTAAACGAGGGTCCCTATGTGGTAAAATCTGATCCCTACAACTGGCATATAGAACTGGGGTTGAAAGCTGGAATCTAGGCTTCTTTGGGTCTCACCTAAAGCAAATCTTACGCCCAAAGTAAATCCAATTGGATTGTTTTCAACCAATTGACTTTAACCCGTTACCCTAGTTCCCATCTAGAAGATCCTTGACTCCAGAAGTTAGTTGCACGGATGGCTTTCTTTCCTTTTCTGACGGTTTAGATTGTGGTTACGGTACATAAGACTCATCAAAATTTGGAAAACGTGGTGTCGGTAGTATAGTATCGACCTCAGGGTAGGAGATCAGATGATGTAATTGTGATCCGGTTTATCTGTGAACTAAACTGATTGCGATGTGTGATATCGGGAGGAATTCTCCTCTTAATGAGCAACCAATGGCGTATTGCTGTGTTTTAGTAAAAATGTAGAATATTGATTGGTTTGATGGCTTGGTGGGTATGGAATGGAGAGGGGAGGATAAGGTGTCATATGAGAAAGAGACGCTTTGGATGGAAGGACTTATTAACGAAGTTGTGGAAAACGTTAGGTTGGTAAGTTGGGGCTTCCCCATCACCTCTCCACCTCACCTGGAGTGGACACAAACTGCCTTATTCCAAGTTTCCAACCTAGTTCTCACTAGTCCGAAGCTCTGCTTGGTTTATCAGAAATAAGAGTAATAGAAAGTTGAGGGAAAGCCATTAGGAAATAGGCAAGATTTATGGTGCATCGGCTATACCATATAGCAAAAGACGTGATTGATCGAGGCTGGATTCATCCGTGTATTGGGAACATTTTCATACTTTCTTTTTATTCATGGGAGATATTCTCAATACATGGCTGAAAAAGGGGTGTGAGAACAGTATGAGCACAATTCTGTGAGGATCAAATCCAATTTCTGATTGGTCAAATGTGATGGTAAATATATCTTACTAAAGGTAAAAGTTACTTGGACATGATTGGTTGAGTTCTAGATTTAAACTGCAGCTAATATTAGTGAATGCTCCATGGTTGAACTCTAAGAAATTATCATACAAGTCTTCAATAACTTCCCCTCAACTTTCTGTTTTCTCTTTAAGCCAAACACAGCCTAGAAGAACCTTTGGTGTTTGACCCAACTGATATTTACTTCCAGCCATCTGAATTTTCTTCTTTTTCTGTTCTCTCTCTCTCTCTTGTTTCCTCTCTTGGGGCTCATGCGTTGGAAGATAAGAAAGTTTGTCTTCCTCTATAATTAATGAATTGTGTTATTGATCAAAAAAATACTTATTGTTTGACCTTACTACATTATTTGAAGCATGTCCATCCATATAATATAAAGGAACCACTGAATCAGAATTCAGAAATCAAGAAAATGGATTGTATTGCCCACTTTTGTTCTTAAGAAGCTTCAATCATGTACTGGAAATTCCATCCACCTGGCTATTATTGTCATAGAAAAGCCCATCATTCATCAATTTAGAGATTTTGTGAATGGTTGGTCTATGGTCTGATACCACCTAGAGAGGAAAAAGATTGTCCATGTAGCAGAATATCAGAGAGCACTGACCAGACACTGTCTTAATCCTTTCAGCCGTGCCCAAAACAAAATTGACCTACTGATTACAACAACTTGGACTTTTTTGATATATGATTTTCACTTATGACCAGACAACATGAAATAATAGGATGATGGGGATTATCAATAATATACATTAATGAGTAGTGGCCATAAGGCCATTGAGATCGCTTTCCAAGTCAAGTTACCCATCAAAAAGTACAAGGAAAAGAATTCCGAATTTCATTTGGTAAGTAGGGGAATATGGTAGCTACTGTGTATATAGAAAGGCTTCTTCTGATATTATGGTAAAATAATACAATGTGGTTCCAAGGAAGATGTATTACAATAATATGATATACATATGGATTTCTACCCCCCTTGAAGAATAAAATGAAATTTACCAGCTCCCTCCAGAAACTATTCCTATGAAACATTGACTATGCTTGAACACCAGCCGAAACTTCAGTTACTGCTGGTTTTTCTCTTTTCTTTGGCTGTTCCTGAATTTTCTGTATAAGTGCTTTATTTGGAACCAAAACAATGAATATGTTTCTCTCACTGAAGTTTTTGCTTTCCTCTGTTGCAAGCTGCAAATGCCATGTCTATTAGATTGTAAACTTAAACAAGAGATAGATATAAGCTGTAAGATCCTAGATGAGTAATTTTCTGTTTTACGTCCAAATTGGAATGTGTATATGTTGTTTTATATTGTTATGTACAAATCCAAGATTCAGGTGACATCTAGTCACCATGAGCACAGAGCAGGTATGCATAAGATGGTCTTCCTGAAAGCTAAGGAGATTACCTTCGTTATTCTCAAAGATATGAGTGATTTCCTTTCCTATTACAATGGCACTCAGAGCAATTTGGCAAATGGACAAAGGGATTGGAAAAAATTGGTGCCTCATGATGTTGGTGTTATATATAGGTGGTGGAATCCAGAGTATTACTAATAAGATGGCATCTAAGATTAGCCTCTTGGGTCATGGAGGTTTTCATTCCAGAACCTGGTCTTGCTTGCCACCCTTCTAAGAAGGAAGGGTTGGTATAGCAGCAGTTGAGATGGCAGTCCTCCCTGATAATTTAAGACCAGAAATGAAAAGAACAGAGTCCAGATCGAGAAATAAAGTTGAACATAAGCTGATGCAGAAAGTGGCTCAGATGCATATCAAGATTAGAATGTAAAGATTAGGAAACAAGAATAGGAATCAGCACACAAGGAAAACTGGGAATAGCTATTGTGATAAAAAAAAAATACTAGCAGAGGGGCCCTGCTTCGCAGGGGCTGGAATGGAACTGTCGACCCGGTCCCTGACCAAAAACTGTTGAATTGGTCAATGGCCCATTGACCCGAGCGGTCGAACCATCGATCCGTTGATCCGTTCAATGGTTTTTGGCCGTTTTTATTTTTTTAATTGGGAACCATCCAGGCAAACAGTTCCATTTTATCCTAATCTCAGTCCCTGGCCAAAAATCATTGAATCGGTCAATGACCCATTGACCTAGGTGGTCGAACTATTGACTCGTTCAATGGTTTTTGGTTGTTTTTTTTTTTATTTTGTTGTCAGAACGGGCCATCCGTTTGAACCGAACAGTCAAACCGTCGACCCAAAAATGGGTGGCCAGAACAGTTCCGTTTTCAGGTCGTATGAGTCACACGCTCGAATGACATAACACGTATGGTACTGCTTAATGGACCTCTCACACAATTTTTTGCTTGTAATTTTTGTTGTCAGAACGGGTTGTCCGTTTTTTTTATTTTTTTAATTGGTAACCGTCCAGGCAACCAGTTCCGTTCTACCCCAATCCCGGTCCCTGGCCAAAAACCGTTGAATCGGTCAACGACCCATTGACCCGAGTGGTTGAGCCATTAGCCCATTGACCTGTTCAGTGGTTTTTGGCCGTTTTTTTATTTTTTTTAATTTTGTTGTCAAAACAGGCCATCCGTTGAAACCGGACGGTCAAACCATTGACCCGAAAACCAGTGGCCTGAACGGTTCCATTTTGGGGTTGTATGAGTCACACGCTCGAATGACATAACATCATGGTTTTTAAAACCGAACCGGTCAAGGGTCCGGTTACCGGATCAAACGGTCCGACTGTTTGAACCGAACAGTCGGCCTATTCTGACAAAAATAAATAAAAATAAATAAAGAAATTAAAAAAATAAAAAATGGTCAAAACCATTCGAATGGTTTGATATCTAGTTATTAACAATATTTATAATAACTATTATATATTTATATAATTAGATAATTATATATATATATATCTAATTATCTAACAATATTTATATAATTAGATATAATAGGTAATTAGGGTAATTAAATAATTAGATATAATAGGAAATGGGTTGCTCTCACGTGGCAATCTACTCGCACGAGTAGATTCCATTTCCTGCACGGAGAGAGAACCCCTATCCTATATATATATATATATATATATATATATATATATATACATATATAAAGATGGGATGATCCAGTCAATGGACAATCAAATCAATGAAGAGACAAATTGAGGACTTTAAAAGGAGAAGCATATGGGTGACTAGCATGAATTATTATCAAAAGGAGTAATGGGAGAACATCTGAAAACACATGCTTTTGATGGAAGAATCCAAGGCCGTTACCCAATGTTTTTCCCAGCTATTCAAGGTCTTGGGAGGGGTGGACTGGGTAAAGACCTAACTTTTGGCATATTTTGCACGAAGTGGCTGCTCTCAGACTCGAACTTATGTTATTATGCTTGTCAGCCTAAGATTATACTGTTACACCAAGCTTTGGTGGAAGAGTCTAATGATGACAACAGGATCCAAATAGTTGATTCCAGAAACTCAGGAGAAGATACTAATGATGACAATGTATAATAGTGCAGACTTAAAAATAATCCCCAACGTGTAGAATAATTGGATATAATTATCAACAGACCATTATACTACTGTAATGTCTGTCTCTCAGTTCATGAAAAACACAAGCATGTGATCAATACCTCCCCAATGTCATTCTGGAAACACCTGATAAGCTCAATGGCAATGTTCCTGAACGCATTCTCACGGCCTTTCAAATTCACTATGACCTTAACCTGCAGGAATTGACCTACTAATCACAGATTTGTAGTGACGAGACAAACTAGACCATATATGCATTAATAGTTGTACAATATGAGAAAGTTCTAGTAAACCTTGTCCCCATCTCTGAGAAATTTCTGAGCCGATTTCAATCGTACAGAATAATCATGTGAATCAATGTTGTACCTATCAAAAAGAAAAGCAAATAAATTTCCTACCCAAAATGTTATAGTATAAATTATAAATAGCATGGTAGGACTTCTGGAAAAAATATATATATACTTTATTCTCCGATGTATCCCTTCATCTTGTTCTGGTTGAGAGTATGGTTAAAAGAATAGCATTTTAGTACAGTAATGGATCTAAGGAATTATACAAGGATTATAATCTTACTGGTATAGCAATGCATAGATTATGAAACCAGCTCCAACCATATACAGTGTCTCAAATAAGATAAAATAGTTATCATGTAAGATACTTATTTTTCTGATATGTCATGAAAGATAGATCTTCTTAATTATATTTATGCCTTCATTGCCAACCACAAAATCCTATTTATATTCTATACTATCAGCATAAGTTCCCAATTTTTAATGAACTAAACCATCAACTTATGACAAAAGACTGAAAATTTACAAATGAAGCATTTGAATTATGGCTTTATCTATGATGCCAGAAAGGTATGATACTAGAAAAACTTTGACCAATCAAACCCCCCACATGGCGGATTTTGATGAATATGTGCTGATTGGTTACCACTTTTATTATATGCTTGATTGGTTATAAGTTTTTTAGATACAATGTCATTCTGGTATATAGTTGGACTCTTGAATTATAGGTGTGTATGGATGACGAACCTGCCAATTTGCTTTTCTCGAATGAGGCTGGCTAATCTAAGTATCTGGTCAGGTTTTCCCAACCTAGTCATAACCAAACAAACCAGATTTGTCTTACTAACACACCCAGTTTCCAAAGTTCCAGAAGAGAAATCTTGAACTCAAATTGCGTCAGATTCTGATTGACCTTGTCTCAACTTGAACCCAATCTGACCTAACTGACATCACACCCTAACAAAACAAAGCTTTTGTACAGCATGGAGGTTATAAAGGAATGCAAAAAACTATTTGAGACACTAAAACATTTCTCTTCAAAGGAAAAAAAAAGATAAAAACATGTTTACGTGTAAATGTGAAAAAGAATAAAGAAACATATAATAATAAGCTGAAAAGCAAAAGAAAAGTACCCAGATAACACTTTACAGGATGTGAAAATCCAATAAACTACTCTAATAGTTACCAAATCAGTAATATCTTTTGCTTCTATATTCTTGTGATTAAACAATCTAGGGTTCTTTTCCATCAATAAACTCCAGACTAGTTCAAGATCTGTGTTAACCAGGTGCATGGCAGAGATGTCAAGTGTTACTCCAGATATGCTATAAACAGGGTGTACAATGGGCTATGAAACCCAATCAAGAGTAAACATGCCAAGAATTTGTCCATCTGGCAACTATACAGATCACTGATATGTTCATTTATTATCGGGTTACATAGACCATTGTACATGTATTGTTTGTAGCAGATCCCAACCCGTCAAGTATCTCAGTTGCATAGGTACATGGCAAAGTTGCAAGTATCCAATAGGGATGTCAAGGGAAGCAGGTTAATTAGGATACCTGCCCTCCCTACATTTATAAGGACAAGTTTGTTATGTCCTTCAATCGGGCTTGGATTGGATTCGGGTTGTAGAATGGCAACTAAAACAGGTTAGGTCATGATTTGTTCTATTTCTATATCACCATGCCATATAGATTACAACTGGTTCTGTCTATTTTCCTCATTGTTTCTTTACATATTCTTTTTTTTCTATTAACATTTTCAATCTCTTATCCCATCCCACCTGATCCCACTTCATGCCCTAACCCTGCGTGGCCTGCTTAGTGCTCCATTCACAGGGTAGTGCAAGTTCAGATTGGGATGTAGTCAACTCAATTTGGTTTCAGGTTTGGCCAACTTCATACTGACCCCAGCCAGTTGACATCCTTAGTATCCACATATTCATGTTTGTCCAGCATGGCAATATCTAAATTTCAAAGCATGACATAGAAGTATAGAACCACATCAAAATTTTAAGACCAGAAACCAGAGTGCAAGTCAGGTACCAGATTTGAAGAATATTGGGCTTGAACCCTTAGGACAGGCCCATTCAAATTTTAACAAATGCTCAACCCAAGCCTAACCAAGTTGCACTCCTACCAGAATATAGTTCAATCTCTAAATAAAGGCACAAGAAGATAAAGAGAAACAAGGATGCTGTTGAGGAGAGGCATGAAAAATTAAATAGATAGTATTAATAATTAAGAAAATCATACCCCATTTTGAGTTCCTTCAAATCCATGCGATTTTCTGCACATATGGGAATATGTTAATATCACTTTCTTTTTGGAATACATGTTACACCTCAATCAAGTTACACACAGCAAAACACTAGAGAGAGAAGACATTCACCTGCACTTTTTTTCTGCTGTCCTCTTTTCTTCTTTTGTTGTTCATAACTGTATTTTCTGCAAGAGTAGGAAAATAAAATATAAATACACTTTTTTTTCTGGATATAGACCGAAAAATGCCAATACGAAGGAAAACAGTTTTTTTTAAGAAAAGATAAGGTAATTTTATTTGAAATAAAATATATTATAACAGGAACAGCAAGGGATCAGACAAACCCTGCATCAACCACCATCAGGCCACCCACAACATTACATTCTGCAACACTCCCCCCCCCCATCCCAACATTACAAAGGATAACAGATTAGTAAACTTCCAAAAAAGAAAATGTCAAAATGACAACATGACAGCCAAGTATATAGAAGTGGTTAAGAAAGTTACATAGAGACAGATATGAACATTAAAGAACCCTCCTGATAAGACAGCCCAGACTATGAAAGCATTGCCAAGATGCCACTGCATTTACTAAAAAAAGCCTAAATGGAGTTGTATATTTGACACATTAATCAGGATTTCAAAGTTTCAAGCACATTAATGGAAACCAAGAAATACTACTTATAATATATCCATGCAATCTTCCCCGGATATGGTACCTTATTTCACAAAGGGAAAGCAAAAATAAAAATTTATTTAAAGATTAAATTGTAAATCATAAATTTTTCTTTTATTGGGGGAGGGTTGTAAACTGTGCCATTATAATACTGATAAAAAATGGGCACTATTATGGTTGTTGATTCAGAAGCCTCAAACATTTATAAATAGAAAAAGATGCTAGGAAGGTTCTTGAATAATATTGAAAAAGATAACAGGAACAAATTTTAAACTTCTAAACAAGCAAATAAATACTACAGGGGATTAAAATAAGTCATACTTGTAATCCATTATTCAGACAACTGGTGGATCTGCATCTGGTGACAATATTACCTGCAAAGAAGGATATTTAAATGCCAAATTGAGTCCTCTAAAAGAAATAAACAGTGCCTTCCAAATAAAAGTGAAACTTAGTAGCCAAAGTTCAATACTCCTAACAATGTTAGTCATGTACTAGACAAAATAAAGCAGGTCTAGAAAAATTACTATAGCAACCAACTTCTTCTGTGATGTATCCTTTATAGACAAGAAAAGTAGGATGGACAAGGACCTAATAATTCCTTGTTCCTACATCAATCAAGATCATTTCTTTTGGGTGGTACTTATTTGGGAGTACTCTCAACTATGGCAAAATGTTAGTTGAGCTGCAACTAAGATTGGAGAATATTGAACAACATGATTAAAGGTGTTATGGCATAATGCCATCTTAAGCTTTTGCCTCTTGGAACATCTTGAAATTTGTTCATTTATTTATTTCCTTTTACAATGTTTATTATATAAGGCAGTTCAAGATATGCAAGTAGCAAATGACATTCAGATGGAGATATCATGCATCATTAGAAAACTCAGTTATGTGAAATCCTCTCTTGGTTTTTTAATGTAGCTAGTGATTTAGGGGATTCTCTCACCAAGCAGGAGGTCTTAATGGATTCAATGCTGCCTCAGCAACGCTGTGTAAGGTCTTGCTTTCTCCCCTCTCCTCTACCAGAGCTAAGGTTCCCTTGAATTTCTCCTTTTGCTTCCTAGTATAAAGTTATGCCATCTTAACTGTAAGAAGAAAAAGAATCAGCAGAGCATTTTGGATTCTTTGAGTTATGTTTTAGTTTCCCATCCACTTATTAGTTCAAGTCAGATAAAAAACTTCCCTATCCTCTTAATTTTGGTGAATAAGTGTAGGGTTAGGCAGATTCTTCTTACATCTTCCACAGACAATAATAAATTACTCCAGGAAGCAACATGCAAAATCACTAGCATCTTTGAACCATATTTTAGTGAAGAACACAAGGAATTCCATCACAAAGTACAACAGAGTATTATTAACTATTAAGATATAAAATGATGCAACATAAGCTGTTGTTTGATTAATTACCAGTAAGCACAGAGGATCTCGCATCTAACATAGTAATGCTAAAAGTAAGGTGTCAGATTAAAAAAAAAAAAGCATTCTTATTTTCTATAATGCACCTTCCAGATTGTTGATATTTTGGACCTCAAGCCTAGTGTCTTTACATTTTGCATACTGGACTCTCTAGGAAGCTTTAGAACACTACCAATAGCAGATCGAGACCTTGAGAAAGATTAAAAAAAGAAAAAATCAGCTTTTCCTTTTTTATAATGCAAAGCATCTCCATCATAATGATCCATCACGGCTGAGAATTGAATCTGATTTGAAAGAATCCATCAGTAATGACCTAGGGTTCTCAACCACAAGTCGGTATCAATTTCCTAGTAGCTATCAAGTTTTGGAGTCAAAACAGCCTTACCCTTGTTAGCCTGCAAACTTCTCCAGCTCCAATAATCTCCCTTAAAGAGCCATGGATTGTGAGTGTTCATTCACTTCCATTTGGGATGCTCCAGGATTTAGGATAAAAGGTAATACAAAATCCCAGCTTCTGAAGAGTCCAGTGAGAATGGAGAGTCTGTGAGTTTTCACATAGCAGTAGGAACCACTTTGAAGTAATCCATTTCTAGCATGCTTAACGTATTTAACAGTCTTGTTGATCAACCTAAAACAAATGCTTCTAGGTAAGTTGCAACTGCTTAGAGTGTCATACAACCAACAGAACTTGAAATCAAACAACTAAAGCAACTCAAAAATTGGTTCTTATGGAATCATACTGGTTCTTCACAAACTAAAACTACTAGAATGGGAAGGGAATAAATTATTTATGGGAAGTAAACCAGACCTATTAAAGGAATGGAACTAAATAAGCTACATCAAACAGGTGATTTCCCCTATTAGGTTTCCTTCTTTTCAGCAGAAATTTTTTTAAAGGTTCCCTTCTCTGTCCTTTTCAATACTTTTGTATATGACCATGGTGTTTGAAGCCTCAGGCTATCCTTCTTACTAGGTTACTTGAAGTTCCTTCATAACATCTGGCCCTAACCCTTTTGCCAGAAGGGTATCCCTTTATCCCATGGTATTTCGAAATAAAATCCTAAAGCTTGATTGTCATAACTACCTTTCTATCTTGGTCAGAAGGTTACTTTAACACCATTATCCTTCTCTCATTGGGTATTGTATTGATAACAACAAGAGGACTTCGCAGGAGATTGTCCAGACAACCCAAGACTTGTTGCACTCTCTTTAGTATAAAACCCTGAAATCCATTTTATGTTTTTAACCACAAAGGTGACCTGTGCTTCAAGACAATATTAATGCGATCCATGGACATTTAACAAAGACTATGACCTAGACAGAGAGGAATGGCACAGCAAGAGTATTGTTTCTCATCCAAATAGTTGGAATAAGGTTTCCCTAGAGTTCATTTATGTCAAATGGAAGGGAAAGTAGCAGAAAAAGAAAAAGAAAATTTTCGAAAATTAAATAGATAGGTGAAATTTTGATAAAAATAAATGTAGCAATCTATATGCAATTTGTCTAATAAAACATCGTCAGTAGAATTAAATTACAAGAACAAAAAACATTTACTTAAAAGAAAAATGGTATACCAGGTCAAGTTCAGCATCTTCGGCCATCTGAAGAGCTTCGCTTTTAGACACCACACCAACCTGGAAGAACATTAGTTGTAACAGAAACAGAATTAATTGAACTTATCAAAGACTTAACAACGTTGAATCCAAACCGTGAAAATTATAAAACTAACCATATTCTGCTGTTCATCTATAAGTCTTACGGAAGGCGACCTGATCCAAATCATTACAAGAACAAACAGACTCAGTGGACGTCTCTCACTGAATTCAAGTGGAAACTTGAATATAATACAGATTAATTTGCACGCAACAATACCTGATACTTGAGATATCAAGTGCGGAATCGGCTTCGAACTCGGCCTTCCGGTTGCCTCTTGGCCTCCTCGTCTCGCCGGAACTCCAGTATCCGCTTGACCGAGCGGTTATAGAGACCTGCGGAGCAACGGAAGACGAGCGGCTGCAATCGATTTTGGCCAAGTAAAGGTTACATAAGCGGATTCCACATAACTTGGACTCAAGCGAGGAGAGAAAGAGAATAGAAGGAGTCGTTCTTTCAGAGACGAGTGTTTTGAAAGGTAGACTACTGGTAATCCCAGCCATGGAGGACGCGTAGTTTAAGCACCCTACACTCCTTGTTGTGTTGATCTGGTTCTTGTTATTATTGGTGCTGTTCAGATTATGCAACCAGGGCGTATAATAGATGAGGTTGGAAGGGTTTTTAACTTTTTATATTCACAGCGACTCAGCGCAGCGAGGTGGACGATGAGATGACTGGACCTTATCCACACACGTGTTTGATGATGCGGACTTGCAGAGTAAGGAAGTTAGTTATGATTGGCACCAATGCCATTAAGGTTGTGTTTGGACTTTGGACTTTGAAAAAGCTTTTGCTTTGTGTTTTTGAGCAGCAAAAATGTGATTAAAGTCTTCTGATTTGCACTTGCATGCATTTGTATTGGTACAGATTACACAGTAACCAGGGGTGGGACATAGCAGGATATACGTGTCATAATTATGGCTAGGGTGTTATATGGTCTCTACTTTTGACTGAACTTAAGGAAACTGGAGGGGAGAATGACGGTTCAGCCCAACGTACAATTGGATAGATGCCAGCTCGAAATTGATGCTAATACATGGGCGGGTATTGATGCATAGGGTAGGGGTGTTTGACATTTTCAATTATTGTATGTTTACAGTAAAATTCAGAATTATGTAGTGAACTGCAGGGTATTTTTCCACAAATTGAAATTGGCGGTGGTTGGGTGCTACCATATCAGCATTAATGCATCATATTCCATTAGAACTCGATAGTTAAGTATGCTTGGGCAAGAATAGTACTAAAATGGGTAACCTCCTAGATAGTCCTCATGCTGCATCCCAATTTTTATTTGGGTGTAATTATATTAATACTAATGCTTTGAATCCCATCAGAACTCCGAAATTAAACATGCTTAGGCAAGAGTAGTACTGAGTGCAATTATACTAATACTAATGCTCGATATTGCACCCCAATTTTTGCTGCCTTAGACATGTATAGCACCTTTCTGTTTGAAAAAAAAATGGCAATTTGGTCTAGTCTTAACTTTCTAAATTCCACCACAATAAAATGGCCTAAACCTTATTAGAAACTGAGTCAAATCATAAAAAAATACTTTGATTTAAGATATTTTCCAAACCGAACCAAATTGGATTGTGTGTAAAGAGCCTATGGTTCTGTGGATTTGATCCCATAGGCTTCTGTACAACCATCTGGACTACTATTAGGTTGCTCATAAAAAAATACTTTGGTTTAAGATATTTTCCAAACCGAACCAAATTGGATTGTGTGTAAAGAGCCTATGGTTCTGTGGATTTGATCCCATAGGCTTCTGTACAACCATCTGGACTACTATTAGGTTGCTAGAGTATTGGCTATTACTTTTATGATACCTACTGATTGGTTATAAGTTTTTCCTGGTATCATGTTTTCAGTAACAATTTTTACTTTGAAGAAGCATGTTAAGAGAAATAGTACCTGATTGATAGGGATTTCATGCAATGGCTTTTGGCTTTGCAAAGTTGGGCCCACATAAAAAATCCTAAAAACTTTGCGAGATGATCCCACATGGAAAGCTTAGAATACTTCCATTGAGCTTGACTTTTTGGTGAAGCTAGTTCCTATAGCTTCTTCAATGGAAAATAGGATCTCATGAAAGCAAACCCATGTACACACCCAAAGAGCATAACATCTATTTGTACATAGCTTCTCATGAATTAAATGGTATTCCTAATGTGTGATTGGATGCCAAGATATCTATACTCTTTTCAATGTGGCTTAGTGCCCATTTGGGAATGCTTTCACACAACTTTTGATGCAACATAGGCTTTACATATAAAGTTGTGAAGCTTAGACCTGTTCATGGGTCGGGCCGGGCGTTTACTCTTCATGAGAAATTTGTTAGGCCCAAGCCCGAGTCTGGCCCGACCAACGGACCTACAACTTGGGCCCGAGCCCGGCCTTGATAAAAAGCCCGAAGCCCAAGCCCGGGCTTTTACTCACCGCCGGTGACTATGTTCGCTGGAGCTGAGTTCGCGGTGAGCTGCGATTTTAATAGTGAAAAGTGTGTCAGTTCACGTTAGAGAGAGAGAGAGAGAACTCACCGCCGCCGCCGGTGCCTATATTCGCCGTCTCGCCGGTGTTTGAGATTTGAAAGAGAAGTGAGAAGAGGAACGAGAGAGAGAAAGAAAGAGAGAGAAAGAGAGAGAGAGAGAGAGAGAGAGAGAGAGAGAAGGAGAGGACTCACTACCGGAATTGTTGCACCGGTGAATGTTCGCCGCCTCGCTGGTTGTGTGGTTGCTTGAGAGTGTGAGGACTGAGGAGGATGTGAAGAGAAGAGAGGTTCGGCTAAGGGGAAAGAGGTGAAAGAGAAGAGAGGTTCGGCTTAGGGTTTTTTAAGTTTAGTCTATAGGTCGGGCCGGGCTGGGCTATTTTGGCAAATCTCGAGCCCGGCTTGAATTTATTGCGGGCCAGGCTTTTTGGCCCGAGGTTAAACCTGCGGGCTCATTTGCATGTTCAAGCCCATCCCCCCGTCGGGCCACTCGGCCCATGAACAGGTCTAGGACTGAAGCTATGTGTGGTGAAAACCCCAAAAAATGCTTACATTGAGTTGAGAAATTGACTTTCTAATGAAGCTAATTTTGGTCGCTTCTTCAAAGCATCTTAGTGAAAGTAGTTGAAACCCTCCCAAGAGGGTTCATATTTTTGTTTTTTCTTTTGGGTAGAAAAATAGCTTCATTTAAAAAAAGATAAGAGACTACAAGCAAAACACAAATTGAGACAACAATAGATCGACCAAAGGGTAAACAACTAAAGGCCAGCAACAAGAGAGTAATATAAACAATACAGCCAAACAAAACCTATTGAAAACCAAAGAAAAAATAGAAAATAACATTAGCCTAAAAAAGACACAATAAACAAAAAACACAAAAAGGGAAACTATCAACCATCCAGCAGGTTGAAACATAACCACACTAAGACAACCTATGAGGTGCAACATTGGCTTCCCGTGGAATCTACTTGAACCCAACTTTCAAACCGTCACACCTTCAAAAAATCCTCCTTGATAAAGCCTAAATCTTGATGACAGTTATCCACCGTACCATTAAAAAAAGAAATCAACTGGAGGCAATCCATTTCTGCTTCCAAACATGAAATGCCAAGTCTTCTAATCATCTTCACTGCTTTAAAAAGTGCAAGAGCTTCAGCCAATAATGGAGAAAGAGCAACATTAAACTTGCATCCAACCCACCAATAAAATACTTTCATTGTCTCTTGCCAAAAGTTTGAACAATGCTTTATAGGGAGACAAAAATCTACCATCCGTGTTTAGCTTCAGAGTTCTAGTCCAAACTTGCTTCTATGATCTCTACCTTTATTAGAGGAGCTTTCCCACCCCTAATGTAAGGGCACAAATATCTTTGCTATCAACCTAGCAATTCCATGAATGGCCATATAAGTATTATCATTTTTAGTTTTAAAATAGAAATCATTTACATCCTTACAAACTTCCCAAAAAACAAATAGCAATTATCTTTGCTAGAGCCTCGCTAGCCTCTAAAATAGGGTAAATTGTATATTAGTACCTTATACTTTGGGGTGGTCTTACTTTAGTACTTGAACTTTTGGAAGTGCCTTTTTAGTCCAACACTAAGAAAGTTATTAAGGCTTAGTTTGAAAAGAGCACAAATACAATTTACCCTAAATTACTCATTTGCTTCTTCTTCTTCTTCTTCTTCTTCTTCTTCTATGACTATTAACAAATAAAAATTTCAAAGATGATAGTGCAAGAGAGTACTGGAGACCACAAGAAATGTGCTCTCCTATTATTTGCTTGACCCACTTGCTACTCCGATGACCTAAAGTGAGTTGAACGGAGATGAAAATAGATCAAAGCACACATTCTCTCCTACCTCTTCTCCATCCCTTATTTAAGTGAGGTTGCAACTTCTCTAGTGACTCAAACGATTCCAACATAGGTGGAGATAGCCAAGAAAAGCATAGTATTCAACGATTTAAATGATGAAAAAAAACATTAACAATGTATAAGTATAAAAGACCTACTACTATAGTACATAATGCCACTTGAAGGCAAGCTGTAACTTACATAGGAAATTTGATTTTGCTTAGAACTTAGATAGCTTCAAATAACCTCCGATTCTAACCTCAAGTCAACTTGGTTCAACACCATTTAACCAAGTCATTATTTCATAACCAATGATCAGGTGAGACTTGAGGCATCTCGTTCTTTATTGTTTATCAAATCATTTTCTTCATGCGGGTATGGTCATGTGGTCTCAAACGCCATTCATGAGGACAATACAAGGTTTTTGGTTTGCTGTTGGTGCAAGAATTGCTGCCCAGGATAGCTCAGGTTTTATTTTGTTTTTATTTCCTCCCATTTAAATCGAAATGCTTAGCTCACAACGATCAATTGGGTAAGTTAGAAGACAAGTTTTTGTTTCATCTAGTTCTTGTTTGTATTAACAAATTTCGTATCTGAATCTAGTTTGATTTATGAGGTGTAGAATCGATTGTTTTTTATTGATTTTGGCCTTGGATTTCTTGGGTTGTCTTAGAAATTTGTTGTGATCACATATTTTATGAATTGAGAGTCCATATGGCACCTTTGATGTCTAATTAGGTTTAGTTCGTTGACTTGCACTCAAACTGGTTTTTTGTTTACATTGTTAGTTAGTGTCCTATACTTTGGGGGCAATCTCACTTTAGTACTCAAACTTTAAATCGTGCCACTATAGTACATAAACTCTAAAAAATTGTTAATTCAGTCCCTGCTATTAATAGTATGTTAGTTATTTGTATCACGTGATGACATATGCAATTTAACACTCTTAAAAATGTCAAAACTACCCTTCAAAAAGAAGGCATTGTTTATCGTCTTCTTCCTTGAGATTGAATCAGAATAACAATTATCTTTCTTTCTTTCCTTCTTCCTTCCTTCTTCTTCTTATATGGCCATTAACAAATAAAAAATTTTGTGATGAGAGATAACATCATCCGTTAACTTAGGCCTTATTATTCCATGTGCTTATAGTTTTTTCCAATCTTTTAGGCCATTGCTTGATGTTCTTGAAGTCATTAGTGGAGGCCCTATTGCTTGAACATGACAAAAATTTGCATGC